TTCACATAAAACAAACTTTAATCAAAAGGCAAGGCAAGGCAAGGCAAATTTATTTGTATAGCACAATTCAGTACAAAGACAATGCAAAGTGCTTTACATGATTAAAATACAGGAAGATAAAACAGAATCAAAGCAAGTAGGAAAAAAAAATAAATAATTTTTGTTGAACTGTTTAACTAGAGTAGTCGAAGGCAATCCTAAACAAATGTGTTTTTAGTCTTGATTTAAAGGAACTCAGGCTTTTCGCACTTTTACAGTTTTCTGGAAGTTTGTTCCAGATAAGTGGAGCATAGGAACTAAATGCTGCTTCTCCAAGTTTAGTTCTGGTTCTAGGTATGTGGAGCAGGCTGGAGCCAGAAGACCTGAGTGGTCTGGAGGGTTGATACACTGATAGCAAGTCTGTGATGTATTTAGGTGCCAAGCCATTCAGAGATTTATAGACTAACAGAAGTATTTTAAAGTCTATTCTCTGAGATACAGGGAGCCAGTGTAAGGACTTTAGAACTGGGGTGATGTGCTCTACTTTCTTAGTGTTAGTGAGGACACGGGCAGCAGCGTCCTGGATCAGCTGCAGCTGTCTGATCCACTTTTTAGGCAGACCTGTGAAAACACTGTTGCAATAATCAATTCGACTAAAAATAAACGCATGGATCAGTTTTTCCAGATCATGCTGAGACATTAGTCCTTTAATCCCTGAAGTGTTCTTCAGGTGATAGAAAGTCAACCTTGTAATTGTCTTCAAATGCTTTTGGAGGTTCAAGTCTGAATCCAGCATTACACCTAGATTTCGGGCCTGATCAGTGGTTACTAGCTGAAGCGACTGAAGCTGTGTGCTAACTTTAGATCTCTCCTCTATTGGTCCAAAGATTATTACTTCAGTTTTGTTTTTATTCAGTTGAAGAAAATTATGGCACATCCAGGCATTGATTTCTTCTAAGCATTTCCTCAGTGCTTGAATTGGTTCATAGTCACCTGGTGACATGGTGATGTAAAGCTGTGTGTCGTCTGCATAGTTATGGTAGCTGATGTTGTTGTTTTTTATTAACTGAGCCAGAGGGAGCATGTAGATGAATAGGAGGGGACCCAGGATGGACCCTTGGGGAACCCCACATGTGATTTTTGTCATCTCTGATGTAAAGTTGCCTACTGACACAAAAAAGTCCCTGTCCTTCAAGTATGATTTAAACCAGTCGAGAGCTGTACCAGAGAGGCCCACCCAGTTTTCCAGGCGCTCTAACAGGATGGAGTGATCTACAGTATCGAATGCTGCACTGAGGTCCAATAGTACCAGCACTGTGGTTCTTCCGCAGTCTGTATTTATACGGATGTCATTAAACACCTCAAACAATCAAAAGAGGAGTAATAGTGCATAGATAACGTAAACCCTTCTCTAATTTTAAGAACAGGCTAAGAACAGTAGTAACACATACCATATCCATTCTTTCTGGAAGTTCTTGAAATGTTCCTGGTCAAGAAGAGATTCATTCTGTCCAGGAAGTTCTTAGTCTATTACACAATCTCCTTATAGTAAAATCTACCTGAAAAGGGATAAGCCCAGAGGGACTGATCCTGAAACAATCTCTGGCTGTTAAGTTAATTCCATGACCATTGCACAAGGCAGCAGTCATTTTTTTATCTCCCAAAAATCCTCAAAAACAACTGACTAAACTCTAGAATTCACAAGACAAACAGTACCCCCTGACCTGAAGGGAGAATTACAGTTTTTTTCCCCAGTTGAGAAACATGGTCGCAGACTTGGAGAAGCTGGCTCTGATCTAAGCCACTTCACTTAATGGCTTGAAGATGCCAAAAGTAACACATAATCTTTAAAAAGCACAAGTAGGATCTCTTATCTGCACAACTATACCTGGAAATCCTACTGCATAAAAATAAATAAATGGTATACTGACATGGTGCAGCCACCGAGGAGCCCAACCAGCAGTGGAAACAAGTTTAATCCTCTGCTGGGAACATAGACACGGTTCTTGCTTGACTTTTCTAAGCAAAAAAAATAAAAATAATAATAATAATAATAGGGGACTTTTTAACCCATAAGTCTTTTGTTACCTACATAGTTTTTCAAACAGGAAAATTGTGAAATTAATGTGGTTAAAAAGTATGGCTATGAAGAAGACATGCCTTTCCCAAATTTCCTTGTGTTAATTGCTCAACTTGATAAGGTGGCACAATATTGAAACATTTCTCAGAATTATGCCCTCATATTTTTTTTATTTTATCCAAGTCATATTAAAATGAAATGATATCATCATCCGCATGCTAATCCCCAAAGGACAAAAGCGATTAGATTTAATTTGTTAAAACACTTTCAAATGGCTGGAAACACTCCCTTTAAGGGGGGAGGTCAGTTTACTGAAACCTTGTCATATTTGATTATATCAAAAACCATCTGTAGTGAATCCTCTGGCAAGTGGAGTTTGAATGAACAGACTTACAAAATGGCCTTTGACTGTATGCTGCCTGCAAGCGCAAAAGCTCCCCTGATGTTAACTTGGTCGGACACTGTGACAGGGAACTACGCTCGACACCGCAAGCCCTCCCATCCACCCATTGCATGTATTACTCAGTCCTCCTCACACACATACACTAACCCCACATGGGACATGTCACCATCTCACAATGAAATCTTCTGCCAAGGCTTCCCAGTGTTTGAGTTATTGCTTGTTTCCATTATACTTTTCACATGGGGCCAATAAAGCATGAATCAGGTTATGAGATGGGAACCAGGAACTGTGCATCTCAGCCTTTATTAAGCTGTCTGCTGCTGGGAGTTGTAGCATGCACATGCACACACACAAGCAAGAAATTTGGATGAACAACAGACACAGGAGGGAATAAAAAGCAGTTATCGAACAATTTTTTTGTGTGTAAGAGAAACTGCCATTGTAGTAGAGAAAAATAAGAGGAAACCATATAAAAGCATAATATATAGACAATAAGTAAAATTTTAAGACATTTATACATTTATGCATGATTGATTATGTAGATCTAAATATACATTTCATAATTACTTAAACAACCTTTTTACAACAAAACTATTTGCAAGATCGGGACATAATGTCATTACAAAGAGATTCAACGGCATATAAAAGAGCAGAAAATGAATTATAATCAACATTCTGACAAACATATTTTCACTCTCTTCACATATGCATGCTTATTCTTGGCAGCAATTAATATGATGCTAAAAAAGTATTTGTTTTAAGACAAATACTTTTTTTTTAAATGGGGTGTGGAAATCCCCTATTTTCCAACAAAATATTAAGAATACACATAAACTGAACCTATTAATATGTCTTACAAAAATGGAAGGCCAGTGTGAGGGACAGATGAAAAGCATGAGGAGTCACAGGAATTAATTGAAATAGGGTTTTTTATTTTAACCCAAAAAAGAAGCTTACAAAAAAATACAAGGGTTCAAGTCATAAAAGAGGCCAACCAAAAAGAAAATTTAACTCAAGCAAACTGCCCAAACTAACTGGCTGCATAAACAAACATAACTGACCTGACAAAGAAATGACACACAAGGGTATATATATATATATATATATATATATATATATATATATATATATATATATATATATATATATATATACACACACACACATATACATATACACACACACACATATACACACACTTTAACACAATAGGGGTAATTCGAACTAAACAAAACCACAAATTACAAACATTGGCAGTACAGTTAGGTTTGGCAAAAAAAAAACAAAAAACTGATCTATATCTTATAAAAATGAAAACACACCAACAGCAAACAAATCCTAAGTGAAAGATGCAAAAAATAAAAAAAGGAAAATTCTAATTCCCCCCTTTAAGCTGCACCTGATGGAACAGTCCAATTTCCCCTCCTGCATTTAGCAGATTTGAACCCTGGCTGCAATCTTTGTCTGGCCAAACTCCTAGGCACCATAGGTAAGAAACATTGGTGACAAAAACAGAAAGAAATATGAATGAATGTAAACAAATACAGTGAACTAAATGTGTGCGCTTACAAATAGAACACAGGCATTTGAACTAAGAATAAAGTTTTATTGCAAACTAAAGTATGTGTATGGATTAAATAAATAAGCATGTATAGTCCAGACTTAAGGTGTAGCCATGGGTTTGGCCATCACAGTCAGACAAAGAAAATAAAGTCACAAACCACATAATAGGGTTTAACAATAACATGGAGTGCAATTCAGACATAAATTATACTATTTGGTCAGCATGCAAACGCTTCACTCTAAATGTCTCCATGTTGAATCATGGTAGAGGTTGCATCATGCTGTGGGGGACCTTTTATCTCAAAAGTGACAGGGCACCTGGTAACAGTTAATTGGGGATGTGGAAGTGGCTAAGTGCATGGTCATTTTTGAAAGAAAACCTATTAAAGGTGTTAAAAATTCTCAATTTAAATGTATCCTAGATATTTCTAAAACAAGAACTAAAAATAAATTTTATTCACTTGGTATACTGAGTAATTGGAGTGTGATCCCAGGTTATTCAAGGCAGTTATTGCAGCCAAAAACATGTACTGACTAAGGGGTAAAAATGCAATTATATATATATATATATATATATATATATATATATATATATATATATATATATATATATATATATATATATATATATATATATATATATATATATATATATATATATATATATATATATATATAATCCCCTTTTTATAAAGTTTATAATAATGTTTAATGTGGAAAATGATTCTATGTCAGAGGGTGTTGAGGGTTTGGATATTGTCAATGATTCTATTCCACCTGGAAGAATTTTCAAATATGCAAATATTTCAAATATAAATCCTTGTATGAGAAATTAAATATACTTTTGCACAATCTAGGCGACTTGAAGTTTAAAGATGCCTCTGATTCATGCGCTCTGCTTCCTGATTATCTTGGCGCGTTGCGCCATCTTGTGCTCATCCTTCGCAACTGCAACTTAAAGTGAAGTTTATTTTTGCCTAGCAACGCAGAGGTTGTCAACAAAGAATTTCTCTCGGTTTCCGAATATACGCAATAGTAACGGGAAAATGGATTGCATTCTTAAAAACCTAGCTCTCGTGGAACTTATAAAGAAAGAGGAAAGATATTACAAACTGCAAACTGAGGTCACCGTCAATCCTTTTAGGAAAGGTGAGTGTCTTTGACATATTTAAATTTTCTTACTAATCGAAATTAAAAAGTTGTGTGAAATCCTTTCGATCCAACATGAATTATATAGCCCAGGGATGTCAAAGTCAAATACACTGAGGGCCTAAAAAACTAATTTGCTACAAGCTGAGGACCGGAATGGCTACATGTTTATCAAAACATGAAATGAACATAGCCTATTGAACCAAGACCTAACATATTGGTTTTGTTGTTTTTTTAAAAAGAAATATATCAATATTACCAATAAACTTTTTTTTATATTAAACTAATTTAAAAAAAATGAAAATGCATTATTGTGCTGTATGATCCTACCGATAACTGCTTTCAAATAGTAAAATAATAAAAAATTCAAATCAGTTGTATTCTCTCTCAGGGCTCTTATCTGCATTTTTCCCCCGAGTCCATTCAACTGAAAAATATCAATAAATAAAATAAAAATCTATGTAACACACACAAAACAATACTTCCTGCAAAGAAAACTCACGTCTTGTGCAAAGAAATGTAAAAATTGTGTGATGAAGCAAGGCAGCGGACCCAGAATTCAGCCAGAGGTTCTTTAAAAAAGGATTTAATTAAACAAAAAGCAGAGCAATAACAAAAAGGACAGAAGAATAAAAAAGAATACAGACTACAGGTGTCAGCAGAGGCTTGCCTATTTGATTAGTTATCAAAAGCCACCAGAATCAATTTAGACTCAGAGATGATAAGCTGTTACATTAAGATAATTTCTTAGCTAATAAGGAAAAATAAATAAGTTCAAGATTTTTCGAATACTGGGAAACTAGGGTCCAAAGAAAACTTTGGAAATACAGTTTTTATGGAGCCAAATTTATGGCATAATGTTCCAAGGTGGCTGAATTGTCCTGTTATACATATTTGACACAAAGTGTTTGAAATGTTTTGATAGAAGAAAAATCATTGAATAAGTTCTCACATAAGAACAGTTACTATATGCTACATGAGGTTTTTCAGAGCATTGGGATATAGAATATAATGCTTTTCTTTTACATATTGGATTAAATTTGTTTCCCCATGACTTTATCTCCTGTATATTATAGTACATGTCCTCGCAGATAAACCCATGTCCAGAAAACCACCTGACGAAACACCAGAGGACAGTAAGTTTGTTTATAGTACAGATTTGTTTGCTTCACCTCGAGTGAAATATGCGTTCTCACTTTAGAAAAATTCTTCTGTTAAATTATGTTTTCTGCAGCTGCCTTTCTTGAGGCTTACAGAAGGGCCCGTCTGGAACCCAATAAGAAATATCCCTTGCCTCTCACTGAAAGTCAAGAGATTGGATGGTTTTCCAATGAACTGGTGAGAAATAAGAGCTTATTTTTTCCTATTTCATTACAAAATGAGCTTTTTACTATTTTAGATAGAACTACGTTTTTAAATCCCATTCTCTAGGCATTTGATTAGCCCTTGAACTTCATGGTATAAATCCATCACAGTGCAAAGGTTTTACAACCATCTTTTAATCGTAACAGTTTTTGATACAGCATTGTTTAGAAATATGATAAAAAGTTTGTTAATAAGCAATAAAATAAAGGTTACTCTCAAAACATTCATACAGTCCTGCTTTAAAATGGATATCAGCATTTCCATAAATCTCGTCAGAGTGCTGCAGGAAAACACACAGCTGGGTTTTGAATTGGTAAACCATCACTAGACTGAGTACTCAAATCAGGAGTTTGAGTGATTTGGATTCTGTGCATATCTATCATTCATATCTTGAGTTAATAAAATGTAAAAAAACAAAAACAAAAAAAGCATTTGCACACAAATGTTTTGATTTAACAAAACCAAACTCACCATGGAAATGTTTGGCTGCTCATGCCAATGCAATTTCAGCAGAAAATTAGCAAACACAGATGAGGAGGAACGGGTGCCAGATTTTTTGCCAAAATCTCTCTCATTTAATTTCTCTTCTAAAATAAGGCCACTAAAGCTGAAAAAAATTGCTTTAAAACTATTTTTAAACTGCACTATTCCACTCTTGGCTGTGGTTGCCATTGGTAACCATTAAGTTACACTGATCACATGGCCAACTCAAATATTAATTGACATTGAACACTGAAAAAGAATAATGCAACCGCTTTCGATATTTACTTAGTCATATTTAGTTGCTTTAAAACAATTGTTTAATTTCCTACCCTGCATACATCAGGGGTGCTCAAGTCCAGTCCTCCAGAGCTACCATCCTATAACTTGTTGATGCATCTCCTCTTCTTCTTCTTGTTTTACTGGCGTCTGGCAACCAAATGGAGCATTATCGCCACCTACTTGATCTTATTTATGTTTCCTTAAATCCTTAGGTTTAGTCCAGTTTGTTGAAGATAAGATGACATGATTTTAAGTACTGTCTTTCTGGATTTATTTGAGAAGATATTTTTAATGTCCAGTTGTTTGATTCCTTCATGTTCCAGTCCTTTCCTTAAATCTATTCTTCGACTTGCATATTTAATACACTCAAACAGCACATGTTCTACTGTTTCTGGTTGACTACACATGTCACATTTTCCTGTTGGATGCTTCCCAATAACATGCAGTGATGCATTTGATGCATTTCTTCTCTAACACACCTGAATTTAAAGATTCAATCCCCTCATTTAGCCCAGCAGAGGCATGGTAATTGGCCACTCATTTGATTCAGGTGTGTTAAGAATGGGGTGATTGAAAAAGTTGCAGGATAGTAGCTCTTGAGGAATGGACGTGAGCACCCCTGGCGTACATGAAACAATTGTCTTAAACTAAATACAGGTCCTTCTCAAAATATTAGCATATTGCGATAAAGTTAATTATTTTCCATAATGTAATTAAACTTAAACAGTCATATTTTTTAATTCATTGAAAACTAACTGAAATATTTCAGGTATTTTATTGCCTTCATATGGTATGCTGTATGCTTTTGGCATACAGCTCACGAAAACCCCAAATTCCTATCTAACAAAATTAGCATATTTCATCCGACCAATAAAAGAAAAGTGTTCTTAAGACAAAAAAATGTCAACCTTCAAATAATTATGTACAGTTATAAACTCAATTCTTGGTCGGGAATTCTTTTTCAGAAATGAGTGCTTCAATGCAGCGTGGCATGGAGGCAATCAGCCTGTGGCACTGCTGAGGTGTTATGGAGGCCAAGGATGCTTCGATAGACGCCTTTAGTTCATCCACAGTGTTGGGTCTTGTGTCTCTCAACTTTCTCTTCACAATATCCCACAGATTCTCTATGGGGTTCAGGTCAGGAGAGTTGGCAGGCCAATTGAGCACAGTGATACCATGGACAGTAAACCATTTACCAGTGGTTTTGGCACTGTGAGCAGGTGCCAGGTCATGCTGAAAAATGGAATCTTCATCTCCATAAAGCCTTTCAGCAGATGGAAGCATGAAATGCTCCAGAATCTCCTGATAGTTAGCTGCATTGACCCTGCCCTTGATAAAACACAGTGGACCAACACCAGCAGCTGACATGGCACACCAGACCACAACAGTCCAGTGCTGCTTCTCTGTAGCCCAGGTCAGGCGCCTCTGCCACCGTTTCTGTTTCAAAAGTGGCTTGACCTGGGGAATGCGGCACCTGTATCCCATTGCCTGCACACGCCTGTGCATGGTGGCTCTGGATGCTTCTACTCCAGATTCAGTCCACTGCTTCCGCAGGTCCCCCAAGGTCTGGAATCAGCCCTTCTCCACAATCTTCCTCAGGGTGTGGTCACCTCTTCTTATTGTGCAGCGTTTTCTGCCACACTTTTTCCTTCTCATTGAGGTGCCTTGATACAGCACTCTGGAAACAGCCTATTCGTTCAGAAATATATTTGTGTCATACCCTCTTGCTTGAGGGTGTCAATGATGGCGTTCAGGACAGCAGTCAGGTTGGCAGTCTTACCCATGATTGGGGTTTTGAGTGATGAACCAGGCTGGGAGTTTTAAATGCCTCAGGAATCTTTTGCAGGTGTTTATAGACCTTTTTCATGATATGCTAATTTTGTGAGATAGGAATTTTGGGTTTTCATGAGCTGTATGCCAAAATCATCCGTATTAAGACAATAAAGGACCTGAAATATTTCAGCTGGTGTGCAGTGTATCTAAAATATATGAATGTTCAAGTTTTATCATTACATTATGGAAAATAATTCACTTTATCCCAATATGATAATATTTTGAGAAGGACCTGTATAACCAAATGCCAAACATGGTTGGCATTATTTTTTTTCAGCAAATCAGAGCTTTGCATGGACCATTTATGGTGTAAAGTGGGAGTGTGGGGGGGCAGAGCACGAGCATAGACGCAAATGTCAATCTCCCCTCTCTCCAGAATGTGAGCACATCTATAAATGGGTCAGAGATGCGTTGAGGACCACCGCATTTAATTTTATTTGACAGGAGCATCACAAACAGAAACAATAAACCTTTGCTAATGATGAAGTACAAAAAATTTAAGTTTTGCTTTTTTGTAAGTCACAACCTTTGCGTGGAAGTCGATATATGCAATTTTCAGGCCTATTTTGTGTGAATACAAGTTATTTAAATGAGACCACAGGTCGTCTTAGAAGATACAAGGCACCTATGATGCTTCAGTTTGAGGTTTTAGCTACACCTATAAACATCAGAAATAGAAACATTTACATTTTAGCCCTTGTAATGTTCTTTATGCAAACAATTGTTTATCTGAACTAATGAGATTAATTAGCATTCATAATTCTGTCATTTTTCTCCTTAGATGGAAAAGAACATTCAAGACCCGCGATTCGACTTCCGGAGGCGCAAGACAGATATCACAGACACTCAAAATCTCAAACTACGCTCAAAATAGACCTAAAAAAGTGATTTATTTTATTCTTCCAAGTCTTTTTTTCCTTCTTCCAAAAAGGCATCTTTGCAAGGTAAATCCCAAGTCAAAGCAAATTACATATTGATCACACTAATGAACTATAAAGGACAAAACTGACAGCAGCTCATAAACCAAATGTCATGTCAGATAAGACAGAATCAATTAAGCCACGGAGCTGAATGAGGAAAATAAAACAATTTCCCAAAATTCAGAATACACGGTATCCATTAGACAGTCCAGGGACCAGAGCAGATACTGAAGAGAAATTTTATGATAAACATATTCCATGTTTTTTTTTTTTTTTAAGTTTCCAAGATGCGTGGAGTACAACACTGCTGTACTTTATACAGGCACAATGCAGTTCCATTTGTGTCTTGATAGGACCCAGCTCTAAGTGTTTTTAAAAGGGATTCATGTTGTCTACATCCATTCAGAAATCCACATTTAATAATTCTGTATAAAATATATACATGTAACCACAGTCTGGATTGCACAGTCATGCTTAATCCTGTCCAGGTAATGAGCTCCCAATCCAGTCAGGTTTAAGAGCGACTCTTCATCTTCCTGCGAACAGACTTGCCTGGGCGTTTCTGAAAGTCCAAATAAATAATGTTAGTTGTTTCTTAATAAGCTCCTTTCAAAACAAATACAATTTTTCCGATGCATGGGACTCACATTTTTATTTCCTCCTTTGCCTTTCCTCCCTCCCTTGTCATGAGCGATTTTGGCACGGAAACCTGAAACATCGTTGAAGCTCTCCTTGGTGTTCCATTTCTTTCCACTCTTTTTACCCCCAAAGCCAAACTTTTGGTCCTTGTATTTCCGCTTAGCATTGGGACTGTAAGGAAACAGATTTTCATTTTTTTTTTATTCTAGGGTTTATCAAAAGACAAAAAAAAAAAAAAATAGATAAAAGTGCACAAAGTTCATAGCTTTTAAATAAAGCCAGACTGCACAACAAAGAAAATAATTACCCCTTTTTGTTTAAAACTTTCTTTGATCCATCAGAAGGATTTCTGGCTGTTTTCTGGTCTCCTTCCAAGAAATCCAGTTTGTCAGTCATTCCTAAAAGTGAGGAAAACATTTTTAAAAATGTAAAAGGAAACACTAAAAGACCTTAAATATTATATAAACAAAATAATAAGAAAGAAAAGAATAATAAAAAAGAAAAGTAGCTTAAGAAAAATCCCACCTTTCTGATATTTCTTCACAGCTGACATCATAGCCTTCTTCTCCTTCTGTCTCTTCTGAAGGACCTCTACTTGGACCTGGCATCAGATTAGACTCCACTTAGTTGGACTTATTAAATCAAATAATGTATCTTTGGAGTAAGGAGAGAGAAAAGCTACAAACCTTTTTACCAAATTTCCTTTGCTCACGCAGCTTTTTGGCCTTTTCAGACCTTTCCAGGATCATCTGTTTAGTGAGCAGCTTTGCCCTGATCTAAAGAAAATAAAGTGTATTAATTTTTTCCCAAAGAATTTAAAAAAGTAAAAATTATTTTTTTAAATAAGAAAACAGGAAAAAACAAAAAAATTGAGTAACAAAAGCAGCGTTTTTATCTCAAAGCTGAACATTTGCAGGCAGATTTCTCTTCTGCTATCAAAGTCATCAGTAAATTCTTTTAAGACGTGTGTGATGTAGAGAAGCTTTCTTAATTCTAAGGAAACTTGATACATTTTAATGTATGAAATCAAATTTAATTCCCCCATCAACCACTTGTTCAGATAGCAAAAAGATATTACCAACTGTATTTCCAATAAAGTAGGAAAAAAAAAACCCATAAATGTAGCAAATCTAGGCCCAAGCCTAGAGCCCCCCTATAAAAGCAGGGGCAAAAAGCAATTTTTATCAATACTGAACAAATTTGAACAAAAATATGAATTGCTTCCTGTATTTGAAAGAAAACTTTGCATTTGTTGTGTACCTTGGACATTATATTTCCCACCATATATTAATATCCTTATTAATGATTATTCTTTTGAAATCAGAAATTTTATTCATATAAAAGAACATTTTAAAGAAATAAATACCCCCCAAAAAAAAAAAAATGTGCTTAAAATGTTTTTTTTTTCCTGATAAAAAAAATAGGAGCAAACTGCTTCAACCAATCAACTTTGCTTAGATTCTAATACAGATACTGTAAACTGTATATTATAAAGATAACATACAATCATTTCATTTTAGGGCAAATATATTCAGTATATTACACTGACTTTTTATAGCAACTAAGGGTGCTCCGATTGATCGGTCACCGATCGTTATCGGCCGATAAAGGCTTTAAATAGTTTGATCGGCGGTCTCCATAAAGGCCGATCAGATGGGCCGATGAGACGCACTACTTGTTGGATTCACTCCTCCGATTCCTCTAGGGGCGCTGTAGTTGCTCTGCATTGGTATGCGACTGGAAGTGGTGAAGAAGAAGAAAACGGACGGTGGTCCGGTAGTGCATTTAGGTAACCTACGCGCAGCTAAAATAAAATCTTGTTTGTTTAAGTAAATCCATTTAAGTTTTATTTTTATTTTCAACCAAACAAAAAAGGTATAAAGACAGATATTTCTCCGACGCACTCAGGCCCCGGATTCGCGGGCTGCTTTCTGATGTCCTTGTCCTGGAAGCGACTGGCACTGAGCCCCCAGAGAAAGTCGAGCTGGCTCCTTAAACGCTATGTAGGCTGAGTTGTTGGATGAAGACGGGGAACATGGTGGCGGTGACATCAGCAGCTCAACATCATCGCAGATTAACCTCTACGTATCAGAGCCAGTCATCCCACGGAGCGGACAGCCGCTTGTTTTTTGGCGAGACAATAAAAGTCGTTTCCCCGCTCTCGCACAAGCAGCACAAGCCTACCTCTGGGCTCCGTACACAAGTGTAGATAGTGAGCGACTTTTTAGCACAGCAGGGAATATTGTAGATGAGAAAAGGAACAAGCTGTCTGCCAAAAATGCAGAGATGCTTATATTTCTAAAGCAAAATCTGCCATTGATTCTTAACAAGTAAGCTTTAAGAGAAATGGCTTTACTAATCTCTATTCCTCTTCTTTCTTTCTAATTGACTCATGATTTCCATGCTGTGCACTTTAAATGTATGTAGATTTAAAGGAGCTAAAAGAACATTTAAAGTTAGCATTTGTTTGAATTTTACAAAACTTTATTACTACTGAAAAATATCTGAAGTGATTAAAAGGACATTTTAGACTTTGAGCTAGGACAAAAAGCCAAACAAGAACTGATATATTATCTAAAGATGTGTGACTGTTCCGTCATGGCTTCTATTTTCAGTTAATTACCGCAGGACAAGCCTAAAATAAATACCTTATGCCTTTTTATCATGGCATCCCAAAATATTTGATTTTGTTTTCTTTGCTCTGCACTTTAAGTTTGTGTAAATTAACAATGACAGATTTTTTGTATCTTATTTAGAAATAAGGCTTATTTGTTAAGCTCTAAGCTGTTTAAGATGTTTCTAAGGAAGTAAAATGTAGAATGTTTTCTGTCAATAAAAGTATACAGTTGACAATTCACAATACATTATGTTCTGTTAATTTTAATACATATACATTTTTGTTAAGACTATTAAAATTGAATATATGACATGATAAAAGGAAGGCTTCAGATAGACCCAGTGATCGGTTACTGGTGATCGGTGATCGGTTTCAACCAATACTGCTTTCAGCAATCGGTGATCGGCCCCAAAAATCCTGATCGGAGCACCCTTAATAGCAACCATTGATGAAAACCTTAGAAATCCTGAGATCATTTCAAATGATATTGTAGCTCCTTTAAAGATATAGATACTTGTAAAGAAAGAACTGCTTACCTCATAATTCCGAAAAAGTTAAAAAACAATCCACTGGACTTTGTTTCCAACTTGGTAACCAAGTGTAGCGGATTGTTTTTTGTTTGTTTTTTTTTTACTTTTTTTGGACCGACTATGACCTTGATGACAGAGAACATTCACCAGCAGCTTACCTTGTGCATTTGCTGATCTGATTTGGCCATCTCTGCAAAGTAGTCATCAGGCCTCTTGGTGGCTATATTGTGCACTTTAAGTAGAGGCAGTGCCTCGAGTAATGTAGCCTGGCCCTGGCGGTAGCTGGAAATAAATGCAGAAAGGTAAAGATTTTTAGTTCTCTAGATAATCTGTGACAATGAAATGGAAAAGATATATTTTTTTTTAACTTAAGCAATATGTTAGTCATACATTTCCAACATGTGTTGTTCTTATTTTCACCGGTCTGTGTGTGCAGAGAGATGGATATACACTGTTCCAACTCACACCCGCTGCATTCGGATGGTTAAAAAGCGACCAATCACAACCCATTAATATTTTGCTGTTTTTGAATGGAACGTCCTCTATTTCTTTTTCAAAACGACATGATTTATGCCACTGTGGATGGGAAGGTGTTGGCATATTCTCCATTTAGATTATGTATAAGTTGTTAATAAATACAGCATGTTATATTTCCTGCTTGGAAATATAACAATCTTGACATGTCTGTCTCTCTTCTCAATCAGCCTTCAGGTATGGCTTTTGGTTTGTAAATAGTACAATTACACCATTTAGATTTCAGCAAGCAAACAGGTCCCTTCTGAGCGTAAAATATTTGCCATTAAAGCGACAGTTATCACAAAACTATCACTGTTTGATGTGAGCCGGCAAAACATGAGATAAGTTTAAGGTACAATCCTAACATTAATCATGATCTTTAGACATGGTGAGTGTTTTGACACGCTATGGCCACTGTGGTCTCAAATTACTTGTAGTCACTCAAGTAAAATCCATAGATAGTCATTCTCTAATCTATGCAAAATAACTCAAACAGCCAATTTCGCCCTGGGAGACTAAATTAAATCCATAACAGGTTCATAGTAAAAGAATGAACAAAAAAAGATGGAGCCAGAGCTAAAGGGACAATAAACGGCCTGGGTGACAAATTAATTTCAGGAATTATTCCGTTTTTCTTTTGATGCAGGCAATTCAAAAAGTAAATCAATCAAGTTATTATGTACTGGTGTATTTATTTCTCCCCGTAGCGTTACTTTCATATTGCATATGAAATAACAAGCAACATCATGGCTACCAGTAGGAGTGGAAAGTTCACCAAGAAGAAATTAAATCATCTGCTGTTTGGAACTGATATGGGTTTGTTGCTACTGATGTGGAGCAAGAGATGCAACATTAGGCTAAAGGCCTTTGCAAATAAAGGCAGCAGTTACACAAACCCTTTTCCAAGACCTACAACAGAGGCATTCAGGTAAATATCTAAAAAAAAAAAACACCTGGTTTCCAGCCATATATTGCTGTGTTTTCAACTTTAACACACTAAACTAATAAACATGTAATTTCCCCTCATTTATGTCCACTTTAAAATGTATTTGTTTTCCTTCTGGACGGATAATATTGAAAGTACATCTCTAGCCCCAATCTCAGGTCGTCAGCATTCCACAATGATTCTCAGGTGGTGGAAGATGGGGCAAAATGAGCACAGGATAGTGTGCAGTATTGCTGATCCCTCTGCTTGTTATTGACATATTACATTCTGAATAGGAGGAATTGTCTTTTCTTCTGATTGTACAAAGAACCTTTAAACAAAATCTTTGTCTTCCTTGATCTTCGTCACAACAAAAATAAACACTTCTCTTCATGTTTTAGCCATCAAATACCCATTTTTCTGCTGTTACTGTCTCATGCTCAATATGAAAAACTAAAATTGTAAACAAAATGTTTTCTTCATCACCAACAAAAAACAACCAACGTAATCGCTAGTTCAAACTGAAAATAGGTTTTAGACTTAATACTCCTATTTCAATTCAGCATATATTTACAGTGCATTTCAACCGACATCTACTTACAAGACCATTTCTCTTTGGAAATCGTCTTCGGCATCAATTTCCCCATTGGTTCCAGCAGACACTTTCTCTTCAGCGTTGGAGAGGATGTCACGAGCTGGAGGATTGGTCAAGTCTAACCTCTCCACCCAAGGTAGATCTTTGCGGAAGTCAGCAAGGCACTGCTTCAACCCCTCCTGCATTACCAACATGTAGAACACAGATGAGAATTATATTCAACAAATACAACATTTGATAAGACATAAGTAATTTTGACTACTGGTCTTTTTTTTTGTTTTGTTTTGTTTTAGTAGAAAGGTAGCATTTTAACCCTTGTTTTAAATTATTTAATTTTAACTTTACAGTGAAACCTTGTGATATAAATTACTCACCACATTGTTGATAAACTTCTTTTTCTTATCTACCATAACATTCATCCCAGGTTTCAGCAGTCCTTTAGCGAAGGCTTCTTGAAGCTTGAAAATAAAAGATAAAAAAAAAGGTTTATTCAACCATACAGAAATAGTTTACAAGTGTTCCATATTTCTTATTTAAAATTCCACATTTTCAGCACTCAGGTCAGTTTTCAGAGAGCAAAGGTTTTGCCTAAGATTACTCGTTTTTCATCAAATTTGAAATTACAGATTTTTAGAATTCCTGAAGTTATGGCTGTTTCACATCTCTCCCGCTTTGTACTGACACTGTCAACATTAAACTACAACAGTGTATTTAATAAGATCAAAAGCTGAACTGTTCTGAAAACATTTTTAATCCAGTTTAATTAGCCTTTTTTTTAGTTGCATTAATTTCAGCTGTCATTAACAGATTATACAACTTCACCTAAAGTTTCACCAATCTCTGCAAATTAGGGCCACAATGATTAATAAACGCCTATATTGCAAAAATTGTTGAAACAGAAGTATATGCATCAAAACTTTGCTTAGAGTAAAATGCAACAATTTTTGCTTGTGCCAATACTTCATTCTCAGTAGAAGACTGTTTAAATCACATGCAGTTCACTAAAGTTGCTGCAGATTGCAGTATAGCTTCAGTTTCCCATGTGAGCAACTAACAACTGATTCCATTACTGTGGCTCCAAGAGCAGTAAAGGAAGAGGAGAGAAAATATTAGTCATAAATAAATTCCACTTTATTCAATAACCATTTAAACATTAATAATTGTATAATAATTTCTTTAGTATTTGTTTAACTTTTCAAGTATTTTAAGTGAGAATTATAACAGTGTTGTTGGGTTATACTAGTTAAGGCTCGATTGCTTAAGTAATCCAACATTTCCTTTGCATTGTTGTCAATGTTCCAACTGAGCAGAGAATCAAACCTCCAAACACCTGGAGAGTATGGCTGCCCCCCTGAGGAAAAGATACTGGATCTAAAGATGACTTTCAGCACTAAGTAAAAGTGGAACACAGTTAATTCGGTCAGATAATAAACTTATTGTTTGGATCATTTAAATGTTTCATCGATTACAGAGATTGATGATTTAGATTTTTTTAATGCAAATGCTGAAAACATTACCTCAAAAAAGAGAACAGACCTGACCGCTCAATACATTAATAAGTTCCCCTGTTTATGCTGTAGTTTAAAATCCTTATGACAAAATTGGTTTGCTTAACGGGTGAAAGATGTTATTAAATACATCTGGATCTTTATTTGAAGTTATAACTATAGAAAAATAGAATGTGCCACTCCCAGACTGAGGAGCTGCTGACTCTGAAAGAGGTTATCGTTGAACGGTGGAAGGAATACACCCAGGGTCTCCCCGATCCATCCGACTTCTTCCGTGGTGAGACGAGGTGTTTGGGATCAAAATATATTTAATATATTTTAATATATTTAATATCAAAAATAAATTAATTAAATCCAATGGGGATTTACGTTTAACCTATTTTAGTTTTGAGTTAATTGGGCATCCATGTCTTGGTGAAATTCGCATCACAACTTTACTACGATTGCAGCGTCAGTTTAAGCAACTTTGATTTTATTCAATGATTAAAATACAACTTGGGAAACAATTGTTTGAATAACAAGTAGCCAATATGTTCAGCAAACTGAAGGAGATCCAATCGTGTATATGGAAAAACCTCACAGCACCTAGCAAATAAGATTACAGCTTTGCAAAAAACACCCAACCATGAACCCCTCATTGCAGAGACCACTTTGACTTTGCAAATTTCCAAGTCAACTGGTCTCATTCAGCATAGTTGCAGCACCAAAGGAAGTGGCACAAAAAAAAAAAGTATTTGCCCAAGTAATATGCTTAAGTTAGGGGATTCTTAAAGGAAAATTGCGGTTTTTAACACTTTTAGCCCATTTTCTGTAGTGTGAAATCGAATGATCGACACCAAAATGTTGACAATTGGTCCTGTCTCTGCTTTTTGGCTCATGCAGAATCCCCCCCTGGCTGCTTCAGAATGGCTTCCATTGTGCATGTCCGATAATGTCCTTAAAACAACCTTAAACGTTCTTTTTTTAAATATGCTACTCACCGGGTCGCCAGCGCTGTTCAATGACGTTCCAAAAAAAGTTTCGTGAAGAAAAAACGTTCCTGTAGTGTTTTATTTAGCATTTTGTAAATCCCATTGAGTTCTGTTGGAATAGTCAATATCCCTCCGCCACCGGAAATGGGGCCTGTTTACACTTAGTTGTAGACTTTTCGCAAGGCCCAAGTGTTTCTGCTTCACTCTGTGTACTCCGACGTCGAGGTGCTAACGTCTCTGTTAAACACTTTAAAAAACTCTGAAAATGGAATACGAAAGGTGGATTCTTGAGGAGGACATATTGGACTTTGAGTTTGACGGTAGAGGATACCGTCGCCAACTAGTGGTCTGGAGTGTGCAACGCTTCAGATTCGAACGGGAAGCGGAAGTTTATAAGCGGTTGTGATGTATCGGAAAAAATAGTTCTGGGATTTACAAAATGCTAAATAAAACAAGACAGGAACGGTTTTTCTTCACGAAACTTTTTTTGGAACGTCATTGAACAGCGCTGACGACCCGGTGAGTAGCATATTTAAAAAAAGAACGTTTAAGGTTGTTTTAAGGACATTATCGGACATGCACAATGGAAGCCATTCTGAAGCAGCCAGGGGTGGATTCTAAATGAGCCAAATAGCAGAGACAGGACCAATTGTCAACATTTTGGTGTCGATCATTCGATTTCATCCTGGACACTACAGAAAATGGGCTAAAAGTGTTAAAAACCGGAATTTGCCTTTAAGCTTTGTGTGGCAATACAAATGCATTCAGTGCAAGCCAATTGGTTGTGCACCATCTTTAACATAATTTCTTTCAGATTGCATTTTAGGATTGTCGCACTCATCTAACAATCCCATCTTGCCTTGTTTTGGCTTTTATTTTTTCAGATGGTGGATTGAACAGTGATCTTGTAAGATGTTTAAAGGGATAGTTCGGTCTCCTTCCGCGGCGGAGGGACTGTTGTTGGGCTCGCTGTCTGAATGACGGCGCGCACTGATACGAACAGAGAGAAAATAGGACCAATTGATAACGACGTGTGACTTTTTCCACTACAATGTTTTTGTGATGCGAAAATATCACTCTTTTGAACACATAATGTTTTGGGAAGAGAAAAGTTTTATTTCGCTGTTCCTAAAAACCTGCAGGACTACTTTCGGCTTGACCAAAACTGGACGATAACTCTGCTCACAGGACGCTGCCAGGGGTAAGTCAGTGTGATTGCATGCCGCTGGTGATGGGGATGCCATACAGATTCATGTCAAAAATACCGAACTATCCCTTTAAAGCTTAGCAATATTTTATTAAAGGCATTGGTTTAAAAGGGACTAAATATTTATACTTTTAGATGTTTATTTGTACACAAAAAATCTCAAGTTATATATAAATACTTCTCATATGACCAAATAAAAGATTCTAAAGGAGAAGAAGTTCTTAATGAACAGGAAAGTGATATTAAGTGAAAGACAGGCTGAGCTTTTATATTTCTATAATCTTAGCATTTTGCTTCAGTTTTGGACGTTGTTTTGTTAACATTCTGCTTATTTACTTCTGTTTAACTTCTAAATAGAAGGTTTTTAACTTATTATGGTCCAATTTCTATTAATAATCGCCCATAGCGTATTTTCTATTATGTTATTTCTCCTCCGCATTGCCATTTAACTTTTAAAAAGTTTATTAATTATGTTGCTTAATCTAGTGCGCAAATCTCGTTTGTTCTGACTACGGATCTCTCTGTTATGAGACAAAGATATTTCTAGTAATTATGTTTCTAAATGTTAGACGTTTGCAGACTTGTTGTCAACGGTCTTAAAAAAAAATAAACCAGTCAGATATTTAATCACCACAACCGAATGTAGACTTCACGATATCAACAAAGAGTTTTTGCTCGTTTTTTAGATCATGGAGTGTTAGTGGTTGTGGTGCTACACAGCTAGCTAGCTTCTTTCCTGCGATGCCAACATAAACTCACCTCTCCGTCCGACAATTCACTGCCTTCCTCATCTGAACTCTGACCGTGAAGCGACTCCTCTTCGGCTGAATCCATAGTCGAGCTACAAAGAACCATATGTTGATAAATGAGCAACTAGTTGGCTTAAAACGTGGATGGATCTAGTGATGCACAAGAACTCACATGTAGCAAGCAGCTCGCGTGGGGAGGAAGTGAAGTGAATCCGACCGGAAACACGTGGTTGAACAAACGTTCCTACCGGGGACCATCAACCATCCTTCTTAATTTCTCCCTTTCATGTTCATAAATTTTACAGTGCATCAGTACATGTTCTACATTTTCTTTTTCTCCACATACTTCACATTTATCATTATTTTTCCTCCCTATTAAATATAAATTGTTGTTTAAATAGGTTTGACCCAATCTTAATCTGATCATTATTACTTCTTCCCTTCTGTTTCTCTCATTAATGATTCTATTTAATACTGATTTTTGTACCTTACATAACCATCTTCCTTTCTTATCTTATTTTCACCTCTTATCAATTTTCCATTTACTCTTAATAAATAATTTCCCTTCCCCTTTCCCAAAAGGAATTATAATTGTTATTGTTCCCTTCAAAGCCCTTTTTGCTAATATAACTGCTTTTTCATTGACTTTAACACCTTCATGTGCTGGAGCCCAACATAACCACATATCAATGCTACCCCTATATAATCTAAATAGACTGTGCTAAATTTCTAATAATAAATCTTTTCTATCATTTCCTTCTCCCTGAATACTTTCTAAAACTGCTTTGGAATCTGTACAGACCACCACCCTGTCTAACCTCATCTACCCATTGTAAGCTTAGTATAATTGCCCCCATTTCTGCTGTGAAAACAGATAGTTAATCTAATATATTTTTAGAATTGTTATTTTAAACTCTGGTATATATATTCCTATTCCCACACATGCTTTTTAATTCTTAGAACCATCTGATTACATTTTAAGGTAGTTATGAGTTTCTTAAATATATATCAGTCTTTATCCATATTTTATTAAAATTCCAATCATTTTTCATTTTATGCAGTGTCATGTCAACATTTACCTCAGGGAATAGCCTACCAGGTTCCTTTCTAATAAAAACAATATATAATGACATCAACAATTTATAAAGATTATTATATTAAATTGTATCTATCCAATTTAATATAGGGATAATTATTTAAAATCAAATTCAAAAACGCATATGGGAATCCATTTCCCTAAATATTTCAGTCAAAGTGAGGAGGAATTGCACCAGGAAGCGGTTTTACACAAATTATGTTACTTGATCTTAAACAGGTATGATTTACTTTACTCAGAGGTAGCTCAAGTCCATTCCTCAAGAGGTACTATCCTGTAACTTTTTGATGCACCCCATTTTTCACACAAATGAATCAAATGAGTGGCTCATTACCATAACTGCTGAGCAAATGAGGGGATTAAGCCATTAGATTAAGGTGTGTTAGAGAAGAGATGCATCTAAAAGTTACAGGATAGTAGCTCTTGAGGACTGGACTTGAGCACCCCTGTCCTTGATAAATAGATGCAATTACTGTTATAAGTTGAAATATCTTTAAATTTCAAAAGTCTGCCATGAATTTTGGTCTTTTAAGTACTTGTCTATAGAGCTACGTAACATTATCAAAGACCCTTCACCCCCCAACATGGACTGTTTTCCCTGCTGCCCTCTTGAAAGAGACATCCTATGCAGGTCCAGCATATTCCGAAACAGCTGCTTCGCCACCGCTATCAGACAGATGAACTGTTGAAAAAACTCAAAATCCTGTCCCAGACTCTGCATCACACTGACAAAACCAAACCAAAAAACTACACAAAACATATAATTGCACAATATACATTTAATGCTCTGAGCTTCCATATCAACGCATTTTTTTTCCACCATGTTTTTTCTCCCATGCGATTTAGATTTGATCACTGCTGCACTTTAAGAAACTGAAATGTCATGAAAGCTGTATAAAGCGAAATTTAGTTTTGGACACACTCTGTTTACACAAAATGACAACAAAAGTCTAAGTAAGTCTTTTTCTTAGAATGGTAAGATTATCAACAGCTGGAGATAGGCACCAGGACCCGGGATAAGCGTGTCGGAAAATGGATGGTTAGATTATCCAACAACTGTTAATTTATTGTAGATTGTATTCAATTCACATTGAAAATTACTCATAAAACTTTATCAATCAAAACGTTTCTAAAATACTTCTGCCTGGATATTTATCTTTTTTTATTATTATTATTTGTCAAAAACGATGGGATTTACTTTAAATTTCTTCCCCTAACTCTGCCTTTTAGATCAGTCGTCATATTTCCAATGGGCTGTAGTTGGTACCATTCCAGTTTCTATGCATTTGTGGGGTCAATGTCTTATTTTATCACCCAATATTTTGAAGTCTCTTCTATTAAGGATTCAACTAAAGGCAAATTTGAAGAATTTATACATTAATCCTACCACTGCATGAAAAGTGGGATTTTCGTCAATATACGGCACTGTAGATTGTCGTGGAACTTCAGGTTAGCGGCAGTTTACGGCAATTTGCAGGCTTCGACGAAAACTCCCGTAAATTGTCAGAAATTGACGTGGAATTTCTTAGGCAGTGTTCCCCCCATGCCTCCCCCCCATGGAATTCTAGGGGAGGCTTTAACATGTAAATGAACATGCTGTGAACTATACAAATGCAAACCAGGGTTGCAGGGGGGGTAAAACCCCCCCTGCAACCCTGGGTAAGAAAATCTCTGATACAAAGAGATCAGGTATAGCCTCTTACATTTTAGCTTGAATTGATTTATTTAATTAAAGTATAGAGACCAAAACAGATCTTTAGCTGACAGAGCAATACATTTAGAGCAGTAATTATTTTTTTTTTAATTTGCATTTAAGATAAAAAATAAAATGTTGTCTGTCAATATGCTCAATTCACAATTACTTAAGTGGAAAAGTTTCAAGAAATGATTCTGAGATGATTCACTTTATAACATGGCGCATTATCCTGTTGGAAGTAGCCATCAGAAGATTGGTACACTGTGGTCATAAGGTCATAGGTCAGCATGCTAAATTGGTATTAAGTGGCCCAAAGTGTGGCAATAAATATCCCCCAAATAGATGGTAGAAATAGATCAGGCTCAGTATAGCCTAATTATAGACTCTTACATTTTAGCTTGAATTGATTTATTTAATTAAAGTACGCTAGATTACTGTGTATGCAAATGTTATGTAAAAAAAAATACACAAAATAATTTACTTCAAAAATTAGTTTTAATCAGAATCAGTTGGCTGTAATGGTTAATTTTTTTTTTAGATTTCCACTTTTTTTTTGAATATATAAGAAAACAATAACAATCTCAAATAACAAGTCAATAACAAATATTTCAATACAAGAAGAAATATCACAACTCCTGCTTTTGAAAAATAAAATTAAATGCACAGGCTGGAAAAAAGTATAAAATAAAATAAATAAAAATAAATAAAATAATAATAGTAGTTAAAGTAAATTAATCAGTGGGGACTACCAACTGAAATTCTTCAATTAACTCAAACAATTTAATTGCATTTAAATTCTGCATCTTTCTCAGACATCTTTTGAAAAGGGAAAGTTCATTTTTGAGAGCAGAGATTGAGAGGGAGCATTTTGCATAGCGACATTTATGGATATAATACTTTGTTACAATTATTAGAATATTAATTAAAAATTCCAAATTTTTTTTCTTTAATGGATAAACCGAATTAAATGTTTTGCCAGGAAATAAAATCTAAATTTATTGTTTTAGAAGACAGAAAGGTTCGAAGTTGATCCCATAAGTTTAATACTTCTTTACATTCATAAAAAAGATGTTTAGTTGTTTCCAATTGAGTTGTACAAAAGCCACAATTCTCAACATTAAACTTAAATCTCTCTCTTAAAAACTCATTTGAAGGATATATGTCATTTATTATTTTAAATTGTAATTCTTTATATTTAGGAGGAATTGGGAATTTCAAATAATTTGTCCTAATTTTGACTATCATAGATTTCTTAAAATTTTGTAAGAGAGCTGTGCTTTTTGTTCTTCCTGGGTACATATTATTTATAGAATATTGATTCAAAAACTTGTTGTTGCATTTATTATCTCTAATGTCCACCTGCTCAAATTCAATCTTATGGAGACAAACAATTGCAATTGCAAACAATTTATAGGTGCATTACCGCCACCTTCCAGAATGGAGCGACGCGAGCTCTTCTCGCGAGTCCTTCCGTATAACAATGACGTCGTATGTGATTGGAGGAGCCTGATGAGCCTTCGGCCCCATCGTCCAATCACGTGTGAGCTTTTGTGCACTACGACTTCTCGCGAGACCAGCATATTAGCAGACATGTTTGTGTTACTATACTCAGAAGAGCTTCATCTCCAGTTACCGTGTTTGTATTTTGTTGTTACGTGAACAATGGCTGCACGACGTCTCGCGTTCAACTCGCCTCCAACTGCTCTTAGTCCACAACTTTCGGCCAGCCCGCAGACTGACGAGAAGAAACTGCTGATTGCTATCAGCGGACTGTCTCGTCAGCTTGCCCAACATACTGCCGACATGAATGAGCGCCTCACTCAGCTGGAGAATTCGATGCACTCCAGGTTGTAGTCCATAGAGGACAAGATGGCGGCTCTGCAGTTAGGGTGGCCATTTCTATAGCACCAAAAAGGAGGACATTGTGCGGCATATCAATAAATTACTAAGGTGTACATAAGAATCGGGTAAAGTCACATTTATAGCACAATTCTTAGTAGTTTAAAGAGGATGCTTGTGTAGCTGAATAGAACAAAATATTAAAGAAATCTAAAAAAGAATTGGTTCCCAGCATTTGTATTTATTTAATACATTGTGGTGTTTAAAAAGTGACCATTTTTTTAACACAATTAATTTGCGCAGAACTGCTGCAATTGATCATAAAGCAGTTGTTTGGAAAAGAAGCTCGAGAAAGAGCTAGAGAATAGGACGATGCAAACTGCAAAAAGTGGCTGGAAAAGAGGAATTCATGACATGGCTGCAGCCTGTCGAGAGTAAAGATGATTTCACCATGTTCTCTATCTATCCATATCTATCTATATATCTATCTATCCATATCTATCTATCTATCTATCTATCTATCTATCTATCTATCTATCTATCTATATATATATATATATATATATATATATATA